GCCTCCACTTCCCAGGTTGTTACGGGGATGTGTCATCATCACGGCCGCCGGGCTAATGGACGATCTCCCGTTTCCCTCATATGGCATTCGCTTGTAAGTTGTAACAACTAACGACGAGTAGATACGACGGGGTCTGGTTGCCATGATACAACAAGGATCAACTTCCAACACGCCGTCGTGGACCGTACAAGCCGTCCTGTCAGCAAGTGTCCGGCTACCGCTATGGCAGATCTCGGATCGTCATCTAGTTTCCCATGGTTCATAGGAAGGTATGTCCGAGGACCACCGTCCTGCACCAGAACCACTTGATGGTTGAGCAAGAAGAAAAGCCAAGGACGCTGTCCTCTTTACCGCATAGAGACCGCCTGGAATGCCATTAAAACCGCGGAGTACTGCCGATCTATGCCTTTCCTATGAGATACAGACCACCATGGTCGTGCTACAAGGCACAACGCAAGGGCGACAGACTGCCATCCGCAACTCTCACATAGCGAGACAACTCCAAGTCGAGCCAGTCGAGACCTCAGCTGGAATTCAGATCCTAAGGGGGTGGACCGAGGCAACCATGAGACTACTTGCGTGCCAAATCTTGACCAACCAGGTTGTGTCCGGATACGCTTTTGCCCTTCCCGATTGGCGCCAGAGCGCTGGAAGGGGATGTCACAAGTGCAACTCCCATGTAACTGGCCATTCGCGGCGCTGCGTGGTGGATCTACTAGCGAGATCCTTGACACCAGCTTGATGCTGGCTGGAGCGAAGGCGAATCAAGTAGGAAGTGCTGCCTGAGGCTACACAGCATGCGATGCACCCATGTTGCCCTGTATGACGCTGGTCCTACTTTCGAGTCGGACTGGCCGTTGCTAGTCGGGCCTGTTCGCCCGCTGCGACGGCTGCAGCCGCCACAGCTGCAGAATTACTGGATCCAGCACTGGCAACATTGCTTGCATGAGCTAGCAAGAATTTGCAACAGGTCAGCGTGTACTTGCACGCACGCGTCCAGGTCTCGTCGTTTTGGTTGAAACCAAGTTTGATGCTCGCATCGCCGATTTTGTCCCGCTTGATCTCGTACGGGAGTTTCAACCCTGCTACGGGAGCACTACCGTGACCTCGACGAGTCGACGAGACAGGAGCTGGCGTCGTCTCCACAAATTCTCCCAGCTGACGTAAACATTCTAGGAAAGCGACCATACCTGCATCAAACCGGCGGTGAAGCCAAGGGAGATTGAGCGGGAGATCCCCAGAAGAGAAGAGATCGAGAGTGGTGATCTTTGCCGCCGGGGAGGTCTCTGCGCTACCCCCACCGAGCGCGGACTGAGCTGGTGACGTTCGAGGATATTCGATTTTCTCAATCCGTGACATGGATCCCATGGGCTTCAGTCGATACCCCTGAAACTGGAATCCCAATTTATCAGCGATAGTAGCCAACAGTAGTGTCGTCTGACCCCAAGCTGCGTTGATTTCCGGCCACTCCACCGAAGGATTGGTCAGACGGCCCAGTCGCAGCCCGTTGATGGTCCCAAAGTAGCCGTCGTGCCCAATGCAGAAGGCATCATTGTAAACGTTAGTGCGTTGTAGTCGTTCCAGTTGGCGTGAATCATGATCGTACCGCATATTCAGGGCATCGCGTTCGTTTTGAAATTCGGACAGTGTCAAAGCAAATGCGTTCCGGTCTCGCCAGAACGTCTCCTCCTCGAGATCCAGCTGTCGCGACTCTTCCTCCAGGGCTGCGATTTCCTCGTCCAGGGCGGCCTTTTCCTTCTCCAATGCGACAAGCTCCTCAAATGCCGCCTCTTCCGCCGCGAGAGTCTCCTTGAGCGACTTTTCAGCCGCTTCAATTTCCTCCGCGGTGGGCGCTGAAGAGTTCAAGTCCCTTAGGAATGATATGTAAGCATCCCGCTCCTTGGTGGCAGACACGAGCCGTTTCTGTAGCCCATCCACGAGCATCTCCGTGCACTCAACACAAATCGGATGGTCTATATCAGAGCGGGCTGATATGATTTCAAATAACAGGTTTGTTCTCTCTACTTGATTCGAGAAAGACCCGTCTTCTGGTTCCCGTTCGTTGTTCGGGGCGCCAGACGGCCTTTTGTTCGCCCACGACTGACCTTCTCCATTGTTGCTGGAGCTGGTGTGGGGTGGGCCGACCTGTGACTCCGTGAGCATGACGAACGACATGTTGCCGCTGTCTCCTCGGCCCAGCCTGGGAGGGTTGCTTTGGCCGCTGCCCGTAGGCCGGGGCGCTGGGATCGATCTTCTATATACTGGCGCCGTAGCATGGTTGGAGACTCGATCGTAGAGTTCTCGCCTTTCGGGGGGATAGGAAGGTAGTGTAGAGGATGTGGTGTTATTTTCCGGAAGAGTTCTGCCTGTTGAGCCTATTTATCGATGGAAAGGACAAGAGTTAGCGAACGTGTACGATTCGTCCCTAGGGAATGCAGCTGGAAGCTTACCCACGAGTAAGTCAAAGGCCGCCGGATTGAGTGCCTCAAGGGAGCCATCCAGCTTCAGCGGCGTCCGACATTTTTGACAATACATGTTTGTAGGTTGTTGAATATGTCGTTCCATGCATTATGCGCGAGAGAAGAACCCGTCAGGTACGGATAAGATGAGTGTTGTTCTGACTAGACGGAAAAGCGCATGGGGGGAGACATGCACGGTGTTCCGCAGGGAGACGTCATGCAGCAACCCATGCCCGGCGTCGCGTGTTTTTGTCCGCTGTCCGAGCCATGGAGGGAGCAGATTCAAGGGCTTGAATTCGCACCCTTATTGAAGGACAGTTCACTCTATAGAGAAAGTATGGCTATAACAATAGGGTCTTGCTCATGAATGGGATTGCCAACTACTTTGTCCTCTCAGTCATCCATATTATGTGAATCATATTCGAGCTTCGTTTGCTGCCATTCAGACGGCAATAACACATGTCTGCCTACATTACTGCAGCACAACTTTGCGACCTCTACCTTTTATGGACGCTCCCAGCACATAGCCTTCAATGACTCTCGTGACCGTTCCAACATCCCTCGAACAGGAAGTCTGTCAATTCCCCAACCCAACCGTATCTCGAAAGCTCGAGCACAATTCTTTCACCTTCGGTGTCTGCCTATGCCTACGAATTCTACAGCTCACTTGAACCTCAACCACCATGGAAAGGCCTCAGAAAAGACCCCGCTTATCCTTGGGTGGTCACAGCGAAGGCTCGGACGATATAGACCTGCAGGAAGCCAGAGCCCAAAATGACTTACGCCTCAAATCGATCTTTGAACGCATCTTCGAAAAATACGGAAAAGATTTCACAGATATTGGGGATGAAATCGATTTACAGACAGGGAAAATTGTGGTCAATAATGGTCACTTGCAGAGAATGTCCGGCGAAGATGATACTGGGGAAAAGGACGAGGCTGGGTGGTTGTTCAGGGAAGACCTGCCCACGTCTACGGTTCAGATCTCCAAAGCTACGCTGGCGGGATCTGTACATGACTTGGAGATAGATACAGAGACTGGCGGTGACGATGCGAAAGACGGAGAGCAGCTACAGTGTCCGCTTACTTCGCCGCAACCGCCAGCGCTTCGGTTAGACCGGGCATATGATGAAAAGCAGCCACCTGAGACAGCCGAGGCGGATTCGGATGACGATTCGAAAAGTGTGGATTCCTTGTTGGACTGTGCATTGATCGTCCCCAGTGACTCAGATAAACCTAATAGTCAAGCCCTGCCGCTTGAAAGTGAGGCTATTCCAGCAAAAGCAAATACTACGGCTGATACGCCCATCCAATCCCAAGAGACCCCTGGAGACAAAGCGGATGAGCCACTGGAGTCTATCTGGCGCGTCCCCGAGATTAAAGCCGAGTTCTCGACGCCCATTTCTTACCGATCACGCCCCAAGCTTCCTTTGACTGCTGTCCGGTCTGCGTCTCCCCCAAGAGCGGGGTCTCTGTGGGCACTTCCTGGACAATCTAGGCGCAACACAGACGGCAGAAAAGAAAAAAGTAGAAAGAAATTTGGAGTCAGCCAACGAAAACACAAGCACCAATCAAGCCCTGTCTTACACGACTGGTCGTTTGCAGAAACCCCTGACGGAAGCGAATCGGACGATCCTCTGCAGGAAGACTATCAACCATCGCCAACGTCGAAGAATCCCATTCATGTCAGGGGCAAAAATCATGTCGAAATCACTCCGAGTCGCACGAAGGACGAGCGCAGACCGCTTCTCCCTCAGCTGAATCACGGTTGCCAGCCCACCATGAATGCTCTTCGTGGGGCAACAGAGCCCAAAATCGCCAACGGCGCAGCTTCACAGTTACAGCCTGAGACCATTGAAAAACATGCAGATCAGTGCCTTTCCGTAGATACACCTATTTCTGCAGCCGAACAACACGCAGACCCGGTCATAGCGCAGGCGTCCACTCCTACTAGAGCAAAAAGGACACTGATGACGCCAGACGAGGCAAAAGTGATCATCCGCATGAGGCAGATTGAAGGAAAGAAATGGAAGGAAGTCCAAGAACATCTTCCGCAGCGAAAACTAATTTCACTCATCCAGTGGAACCAGACGCATTGGACTGAACGGCATGACAAACCGCCTCGAATCTCCAAACCTTGGTCGAAGGAGGAGGCAGACAAATTGCAGACTTTCAAGGACCAACAAGGTTTAACTTGGCCCCATATTCGTGCCGCCCTTCCCGGCCGTTCACACGCGGAAATAGAGTTCGCACTGTTGAGACTCTGGGCTGAGCTGGATGACGGTTCAAAGTACGGATTTGCAAAGCTCGTGGGCGAAGCGAAGCCGACAGGCGACGGAGCTCACGTCCCAGAGCAGTCAACTCTCGATCGTGTCTCTCAGGCCAACCCCAGAGAGACACGGGAACAGGACGATCGCGAGAAGGAGAAGGAGAGCGTGTGAGACGTGCTCCCAGGAGTTCGATTGCGGTACGCTTTGACTGCAAAGCCCTGCAACTTCATCAAACGCGAATCCAAGAATTGCTGTTCTTCGTACCGAACAGCTACTCGTCATCTTTGGCGTTCAGAACGTCCTCAAGCTTGGTATCCACCGCACCTCCGACATCTCCAGCCTTGGCCCAGAATCGAGATAGGTGCCTTGAGCCAGAGTCAGACAGGACTGTGACGATCCTATGGCCAGGACCAAGCTTCATCGCTGTCTTGACTGCCGCAAAACCTGTATCATAGTGATTAGCAAGGTAGCAGACTAGGTACCAAGAATATACACACAATTAACAGCACTGCTACTTCCAACGAAGATACCATCCTTTTCGACTAACCATCTAGCCATGGCCAACGCCTGCGCATCCGTCACTCGCACAGCATCGTCCACGAGCTCCTTTCCTGCTTCGAAGTTGGCAGTGACGCGGTTAATCCCAATGCCTTCAACAATCGTGTCAATCTGTCTTCGCCTCCTCGTGCCTTCTCTTTCCTTAAGATCAAACATGACGCCGAACCGTACTCGATTGTAGAGTCCACTTCCCTGAGGATCGGCCAGCACTACAGTCAAATTTGGAATCCGGGGCTTCAAGAAGAGAGCGACGCCAGAGATTGTGCCCCCAGTACCGGCGCCGGCGACGAACGCGTCAAGTTTACCGTTGCACTGAGCATAAATCTCCGGCCCCGTACCGTTGTAATGAGCTCTCCAATTGGCTTCGTTTTCAAACTGGTCTGTGAAGAAGCCTGTCCCACCCGTGGGAGACAGTGTCTGAGCTTGAGCGAGGGCGCGCGCGCGATTGACAAAGTTGTCCTTTTCAACGATCGGTGCGGGAGGTACACGATCTACTATTGCGCCTAATTTCAGGAGCAAATTTGACTTTTCGATTGCTTGGTCAGATGGCATGCAGCTATTGAGCGTCAGTTGCGGCAGGAACACTTCATGTAAGCGCGCGAGTCGAGACTCACATGTGAGCGAGGTAGCCTTTTGCTCTGGCGAGCGTGGCCAGTGAAATGCCGGTCGAACCGGACGTGCCCTCGTAGATGGTATCCCCGGAGTGAGGTTTCAAGATACCTTTTTGCTCGGCCTTTGCAGGTTAATAATTGGCATGAGAAGGGACCGGGGCGCGTATCACATACAATCTCAATCATGCTTAAGGCTACTCGGTCCTTGGAGCTCTGACCTGCTCCGTTCAAAAACTACAACAGCATTAGAGATGCGATCTGCTCAACTGTAGGCGAATAGACAACAACCATACCTCCGCTTTCCCAAGAATCTCGCATCCAGTCGCATCTGACAAGGATTTAATACGTAACAGAGGAGTATTCCCAATGCAGCCTTCAATGCCGTCAACAATTGCAGGAGGCCCTGGCCTGGCCGTCAACGAGTCTGCGGAGCTATCCTGCAGGCCCTTTGTCGACTGAGAATGAGTTCCTCGGAGACGATTCTTCAACTCCGGATACAGAAGCTCAGTAAACCCCACCGCGAGGAGGATTCCAGCCACAAAGGCGGTCCCTATACAGACCCTAGAATGGTCAGACATACTGAGAAATTCTGGTCTGAGGCCGGTCAAAACATAAAAGCACGCCCAAAATCAAAAGAGCGACTATCTAGATCACATTCGAGCGAGTGAGGTCAGTGAGGAAGTCGGAGAAAAGCTCGGGCCACTTGAGGAACTCCGCCGCCGGCCTCCATCCATCATCCATCATTATCGTCATTTCTGTCAATTGTCTACTACGGCTGAATCATATCTCCCCGAATACCCGCTGTTCCATCGTCCTATGGACAGCCCGATCCTCAGTCAGCTGTTTCGACAGCTGTTCCGACATCCTGCTTGCCAATCATTTAGAACGTCGTCACCAATAACCCGCAGAGCAAATTCCGTCCGGTTGCAAGCGCCAGTTCGTCAACAATGTCGTCCTTTTCTCACGCGACGGTCGCCGATCAAGCGCAGGAGTACCGATGATGGAATGCATTGGCTCAAACGGGGGGATTATCCCAGGGATATTGAGGAGGAATTAAAGACATATCCGCTTGTCACGGCGAAAGATCTGCGTAACCGTCGCGAGCGCCCGCGGCAAGTGAAGATGTTGACGAGAGAATTTATTGACGGTACGTGACTTTTTTGCTTACTCTGCAGGCATATCTGTCAATGGCAAATGTACATGGAATGCTGACCAGATCTGCTGTGTCTATAGATAGTTTGTATAATCCTCATTACGGTTATTTCTCGAAACACGCGACCATCTTCAGCCCCGGCGAGCCGTTTGATTTCAATAACATCGAAGACGGGCCGGCATTCCATCGCATGCTTGGAGAGCGGTATACAGAATTCGAAGATAAATTAGATGAAACACAGCCGGACGTGGCCCGTCAATTGTGGCATACTCCCACCGAACTGTTCCGCCCTTATTACGGGGAGACAGTCGCTCGATACTTGGTGTCAAACTATAAATTGACATTGTACCCCTATCATGACCTGATCATATACGAGATGGGAGCCGGAAACGGTACAATGATGATCAACATTCTTGATTTCATCCGCGATACAGATTACGAAGTATACCAGCGAACCAAGTTCAAGATCATTGAGATCTCGCCCGCGCTCGCGAGCCTGCAGATGAAGAATCTGACCGATTCGGTGAATGCAGCTGGACATATGGACCATGTTGAAATCATCAACCGATCCATCTTTGACTGGGATACCTATGTACATTCGCCTTGCTTCTTTCTCGCGTTGGAGGTGTTCGATAATTTCTCTCACGACGCGATTCGATATGACCTCAAGACGGAACTTCCCCAACAAGGTGGCGTACTGATTGATGCGGACGGCGAATTTCACGAATATTTTAATGCGCAACTCGACCCTGCGGCATCTCGGTTCTTGCGTGTCAGACAGGCTGCGGCGCGTCGGCCGTTCCCGACCCCTCTAGGCCCCAAAGCTATGCGCCAATTGCGTGGTTCCTTGCCCTTTCAGAGCCCTTATACCCTTCCAGAGTACATTCCCACTCGGCTCATGCAATTCTTTGACATCTTGGATAGCTACTTTCCTGCACATCGGCTGGTGGCGAGTGACTTTAGTAGTCTCCCGGATGCTGTTCCTGGTATCAATGCGCCAGTGGTGCAGACACGTTACAAGAGACGAACAGTCCCAGTGTCTACCCCCTTTGTAAGTACTCTCTTGTTTTTGATGGTACGGACGCATTCTAATCGTGCAATGACAGGTTCATCAAGGCTACTTCGATATATTCTTCCCCACCGACTTCAACGTCATTGAGGATCTCTACCGCGCCATTACCGGGAAACTGACACAGGTGATGAGCCACGAGGACTTTGTCCGACGCTGGGCGTATATAGAGGACACCGAGACAAGGAGCGGCGAGAATCCGCTGCTGACCTGGTATAAGAATGCCAGCATGCTGATGACGGTTTAGACGAATGTATCAGTACTGTAAATGATATTGAATCATAAGCATACTCATGAAATCATTGCTCCTGTATCAGTCCTTTTGATTCAGAGATTTAACGGACGTCGATCTCGTATCCCCACAGTTCTTGTGAGTCCAATGGATGAGCTTGTACAACTTGGTCCCGGATAAGCATTCTCATCCGGCCTGCTCTGGGTATTCGGCAATTCAACCTTCTGCCCCTCTTTGTCCCCCGCAAACAGACTCTCAGATATCACCTAGATCTGAGATAGAGCTCACTGTCTGGATTGGACAGAATATCCTCGGCGCAGGAATCAAGGTTACACTCCTCGTATATCTTTCACCGATTAGGATGATCATCATGCAGCTACCCCATTATCAGCAATCAAGGACATCTATATACAGCAGTCCTGTCAACTTCCATATCGCAACACCTGATCCCATCACCTCTAATCACACTAACTGATAAACATCATGACACTCTCACCAATTCCACATTGGAAATCAGCGGTGCAGCAAAAACGCACAGCCCAACTCAACGCCATCCCTCCCTCCTGGCGTCTCCCTTCCACAATCCTCACTCCTCCCCTACCCAATACCCTCGAAACTATCCGAACATGCGGTCTGCTTTCTGCGGAAGAGCTTGAATGGACCGAGACTAACGATGTGACAAATCTCCTTTCCCTCCTGATTTCCAGAGAGGTTAGCTCCGTGCAGTTGACCACGGCATTCTGCAAGCGGGCGGCAATCGCGCAGCAGATGACCAAGTGTCTGACGGAGATCTTTTTCGACCGAGCGTTAGCGAGAGCGAAGGAGCTGGATGAGCAGTATGAGAAGACTGGTATCCTGACAGGTCCTCTGCATGGGTTACCAGTCTCCATCAAGGACCGGTTTGATGTCGAGGGGATGGATACTACGGTTGGTATGTTGTTGCAACTTGTGTGAGCCTTGGTTCTTAAATTTGACTGGAGTGAACAGGATGGGTTGGCTTGATTGGCAAGCCAGCGCAGCGGTCCAGTTCCATCGCCAGATTGCTAGAATCCATGGGCGCAGTGCTCTACGTCAAGACGAATATACCACAGTCTCTGATGGTATGCGTGTTGCTTCAGTCTGTCTACTTCTGCTGACAGGACTCAGATGTCTGACTCGTACAACCATATCTTCGGCCAATCCGTCAACGCGTTCAACCACGAGCTCATCTCCGGCGGCAGCTCTGGAGGCGAAGGCGCTCTGATCGGTGCGCGAGGCAGTATTCTAGGTATCGGGACGGATATCGGGGGCTCGATCCGCATCCCGGCTGCCTTGCAGGGTCTCTACTCTATCTGTCCGACGACGGGCCGTGTCCCCTGGGACTGTTCTTTGTGAGATTTATCAAAATCATTCGTCCTGGAAAAAGAAGCGCTTACTGACGCGCCTTACAGTATGCATCAGCACTACCTCGTTCCCCCAGTCGCAGGGCCCATGGCTCGAAGCATCGCGACAATCGAGTACTTTATGCAGTCACTTCTCGATTCAAACCCCTGGGACATCGACCCAGGTTGCCTACCCATTCCCTGGAGGAAGGAGTTAGCGGCCTTGCCCGGCCGCAAGCTCAAGTTGGGAGTCGTCTTCGACGACGGGGTGGTCAAGCCACAGCCGCCTATAACTCGTGCTCTACGCGAAGTCGTAACGAAGCTTGCAGCAGCTGGCCATGAAGGTATTTTCTCTGTTAGTGTCAAAGGAAGTCTCAGGCTAAATCATCGTACAGTCATCGAATGGAATACTTCCCTCCACATCACAGGGACAAATCTTTGGAAGAAAGCTATCCTATCAGACGGGGGCTCGCACTGCAAACAGCTCTGTGACATTGTCGATGAGCCGCTGATCGAAGGGATGCTAGTCGGGACTCCAGCGGATGAGCTTTCCATTCTGGAACGGGAAAAGGTAGCTCATAGACCACTAAATCAGGACCCTCAAAGCCCACCAGCTGACGCTTTACAGCTCGAGGAAGAAAAGTGGCTCTTCCAAGAACGTTATCTAAAGCAGTGGACCGACAGCGGCATCGATGCGCTCCTCATGCCCGTAACGCCCTGGGTGGGTTACCGGCCAAAAAAATGGGTGACGAGCCATCAATGGCTGGGTTATACGGCTCTCTTAAATCTCCTAAACTATGCAGCAGTAACGGTGCCCGTGACGAACGCAGATCCGGCTCTGGATCAGCCTGGTCAAGATTGGTTGGCTCATACCCCTCGGAACCAGTCTGATGAGTTCAATCATGACCAGTGTAAGTGATTCCGCTGTACATGCGAGACTCGCCATGCTAATAGTTGTGATAGATGATATCGAATTGGTCAAGAATATGCCAATCTGCATACAGATTGTAGGAGGTCGATTCGGGGAGGAAAAGGCTGTTGCTGTCGCGAAAGTGCTTGATGAGCTTATACATTCGTGACAGGAGTGGCATGAGCAATGTTATTAAGGGCTAACATATTGATTTGCCAACTACATCACTGTTGCAGACTATGAACATTACAGTAACGGTATCGAATCGAGATAAGAGTCATCACAATTTCGCCTGTCCCTCATGAGCATTCCCCTGCCAGGCAAACCCTATCTTCTTCCCAATGCCCGGCTCCACGATGACATTGACGACGGTGACCGTATCACTCAGGAATCCCTCCCGCGTAGCAGTCTCCAGCTCCTCTTCAGAGCGGACAAAATATCCCTTCCCGCCACACATGGGACCGAATTGCTCGTAACGGGTCTCGTAAAGGAGACTAGTCGACCTCAGCCCCTTCTTGCCATCATCCCCGCCGTCAGATTTGGTGTCGTTGGCCGCTGTCTGGGCCTGTAGCTCTTTCCAGGAGCTCTCGGAAGCACTGTCGCCGTGGTATATGCCTGAGTTGTTCACCACAAAGATAAGAGCGGGGATCCTGTAGCGAGCCATGGTCTCGATTTCCATCGCACTGAAGCCAAACGCACTGTCGCCTTCAAGCGCCACGATCTTCTTCGGTTTGCCCGTGGATGCCGGAAAGGTGTTGTACGCCTCGTGAGCGGCGATGATATACCCCATTCCCACGCCCATCGTAGCATATGTGCCAGCGTCCAGACGCTGACGGGGATGATTCAGCGGGAAGACCGAACGGGAGATATCCATAGTGTTCGCGCCTTCGGATACATACACGACATTCCCATCTTCAAACGGCGCCAGCGAATTCAGCGTCGTCTTGATGATCTGGAAGGCCCGCTGGTACGTCAAGGGGGAGTTCTTCGGCGTAGGCGTAAACGCAGCCTTTTGCGCCTTGGTCTCATTCTTCTTCGCCGACTCCGCCAACAATGACAGGAACTGACTCGGAACAGCCGAGGAGGCATACCGCCAGTTCGAAAGAGAAACCAGTAGCTGCTCAACAACCAGATCAATATCCCCGACGATCCCCAGCTCCGCAGCGCCCGCGTTGCGACCGATCTCCTCGGCGCAGATATCAACCTGGATGATCTTCGCCCGGGCAGACCACTTCGGCGGCTCGCCAAAATGCAGAATCCAGTTCAGCCGCGCCCCAAGCACCAGCACCACGTCAGCGTGCTTCAGCGCCGCGCTCCGCGCGCTCGACACATTGAGTGGATGCGAGTCGGGCACTACACCCTTCCCCATCGGGGTCGGGAGGAACGGAATCTGCGTCTGCTCGACTAGCTTGCGGATCCCGTCCTCAGCCCTTGCATACGCCGCCCCCTTGCCGATAATCAGTAACGGCGCACGAGCCGCCTTGAGCATCTGCGCCGCCTTAAGGATCATTGCGGGGTCCCCGCTCGCCTTGGGAGGCGGCGGGACGAGGATTTCCTCTGGCTCCGGTAAGCGGAACCCAGGCGCTGATTTGCCCTGGATCAGATCGGCGGGCAGGTCGACGAAGGTCGGTCCGGGACGCCCGTACCAGCATGTCCGGTAGGCGTTTTTGACGGCGCCGGCGACGAAATCGAGAGACGGCGGCCGCACCGCGAACTTGGTGTGCGGCGTGAGGAACGAGATGGCGTCCATCTCCTGGAAGGCGCCCTTGGTGACGCCTGATGTCTCTGCCGATCCGGCGAGTACAAGAAGCGGGAAGTTATTCGCGGAAGCATTGCCAATCTGTGCGTTGCAGGACAAATCGTCAGCTATGGCTGGATGGTTTGGACTGGCCGCGCTCACTCACCCCAGCTAAAGCATGGAGGACTCCTGGTCCTCCGACGACTAGACAAACACCAGGTTGTCCTGTCAGATACCCGTACACACTCGCTGCATAGCTGCATGCCTGCTCGTTGCGGAACGCAATGAAGCGAATACCCAAGTCGATGGCCTGTTCGCCAATCTCAATTACTGGGATACCTACTAGGCCAAATATCACAGTGACGCCTAGATCGCGCAGCGTCCGGGCAATCAGCTGAGCACCAGTAACGACAGCCATCCTAGTGCTAGGTTAGTGAATTAATCCAATGTTGGTATTAGGTATTAGACGAGTGATGGAAGGCCATCTTTGGGACATTGAAGTTTGGGAGGATGGCGATGGATGAGATGAGGCTTTGGGGCACTTCCGAGGTAAAGGAGGCGGTCGGTAGATATGCAGAAGTGAACAAGTGACGGGAAACTGGACCCGCAATTGAGGAGGCGGCAGTATTTAGTATTAGAGTAAGCACTACGGAGTAAGCAGAATGTGATCATTTGGATGGACAAGTTTGTAAAATAGGCTCAGAAACTTATATACATTGTTACTGCTTAATTATATCTTTAGATGCCCCTCACGGGCTGTTAATTATATCTCCGAGTCCCATCACGGGCTCTTCTATCAGCTCTTATTCAGACGCTTCTTTACCAGGCCATGTCACAGGTCCTTTTTTCCCGGCTGGTGTGACTTTGGTTTCAGTTTTGAATGATCAAAGTTTCGCCAGTCATCAGGGTTCTTTTTGCGGTGGCGTGCACAGAAGTCACATACCCAGCCCCCCTCCGGCGCGTGTACCCATCGCCAATGAGGTCCCTTATTAGGACAACCAGGGCAAGAGCATTGACGATCTTCCAGACTTACACCATCGTCATGCCAGTGAGCTTTGTCCGCTTTGTCCCCATGCTTTTTTCTCCAGCTGTGGCAATTCTTGCACATGAACTTCCCATCTGGCTGCTTATTCCAATTATGTCCGGCTCCTCTTATAGGGCAGCCAGTACACTGGCATACTCGATCATCCGGTACAAATGATCTCCTCTTGCACTTACCATGGTCATGTGGTTTATCCGGATGTCTTTTCCTCCACCACTTGCAGGAAGTGCATATCCTCCTTCCATCTGGAAGTCTGCTGTTGAGGTGGTGCTTGTCCGTTTGAGGACATCCGTCACATGCGCATTGCCAGGGCTGCAGGCCGTGATCATGAACCTTACCTGTATCTTTGTGGACTTCATCGTACTTATGGCAAGCCCCACACATGAAGGTTCCGTCAGGTCGGGCATTGCATACAAGAAGTCCTTGCTTAGGGCAATCGCCACAACTGCATTGTCGAGTTTCCTCGATCGGAGCTCGCGGAGCCCGCAGAGGCCGCAGAGGATCAAAAGTGCCGTGTTCCTTATGATATCCCCTGCAAGTCCGGCAATACCATCCGCCATTGTACTCCTCCAATTTATGGATGACAGATTTCTTCTTGCACCAGTCACATGCCTGTCCTCTAGGATCGTCTGATGGCAATGCTGCGAGAGCAGCTCGTTTGTGACAAGTCTGGCAAAGCCATTGACCATTGTACTCCATCGTGTAGCGGGTGGTAGGTTTCTGCTTGCACCGTTCACATGGCTGTCCTCTGGGGTCATCTGGTGGCATTGCTGCGATAGCAGCCCGCTTGCGACAAGCCTCGCAAAGCCATTTACCATTGTACTTCTGCAATCCATAAGTACATGGCTTCTTGCATAATTGACATGGCTGTCGTCTGGGGTGATCTGGTGGCAAAGCTGTGAAAATCGCTTGTGTGTAACAAGGCGTGCAGAACCATCCGCCATACTTTGCTGATTGTATGAGACATAGCATCTCACGATGACAATGGTCGCACATTTTCGGCTGAGGCCTTTGGAGGCCCCATTCTCTTATACAGAGAATAGATATTGAGCGATTCAAACCCTGATGTTGTCTAGACTCCAACCCAAGTTGTCTTTGAAGCTCCCTCAGTCGAATTACACACCCCGCGGGATGTATTTTAGGATTGATGTCCAATGCGATGGAATCAATAAGAATCATGATGATGGATTCTGATAAGATCAGAACCTCTCTTTCAATAACAGTATTCAAGTCAATGAATACTCGTTGATGGACTCTCCATCCAGGATGAGATAGGAAGACAGCAACCCGCCGGCCGCTGTCTCCCCTTCTAATCGCCGCACGATGTCCTAAGAGCCTCCTGCGGATATGATTCGAGCACCCAATATATGCTGCACCAGCACGCGTGTTCTCAGCCAGGAGGCCATAAACGCCGCACCTAACGCCCTTCTTAGGCCGTGATAAGTGCCGAGCGAGCATCGCAACTGTCATACGTTCTGTCCCTCCAAGAAGGACTCGAACTCGCTTAGGGAAGAGAGAAATCACCTCCTCTAATAGCTCCGTCTGATCATGTTGTTGAAGAGCCCTGAACAAGGTGGCGGACTCCGGGATGTCACCTGCTTCTGTTGCAATGGAGAAGAAGGTTTTAATTATCTCGGAAACCCGGATGTGGAACCTCTCCATATACTCGTCTATATGCATGGTCAGTATGATATAATCCTCATTGATCAAGGCATTCATACTTGTGGTATCATCATCGACATCCACGTGCTCTGATGCTACCGACTGGGTGTCGTCGTCTTCTTCATCATCAGAGTCCTCTTCTACCTCCTCGTCGTCGTCGCCGTCGAATAGCGCTGAGAGGTCCTCGATTTCTTCATCCGGTCTGATGCCTTCCATCTCAATGGCTTCTATGGCTTCTGGGTCAAATTCCTCGTCCAAGTCATCCTCGATGGGTTCTTCTTGATATTCGACGTCAGCATTGTCCGGGTCAACATACTTGCCCCCTGTATCAGGGATGACAGCAGCAGCAGCATCACCATCATTGGTCTGATGCTCGTCGGAGTAAAGGTTCTCGTCATCGTCCCCCTCCGAGTTCGGGACGATTGCACTGCGTCTGGCCCGTTTTGACGGACCATTGACTCTATCAGCAGCGGATCTTGAGCTCTCACCCACTTCTGGGCGATGAATTTGGGGAATACTTGCCGGGGTAGTTCTCTGCTCCCCTTTGCCCTTTGCATTACCAGCCTCGCGTGTTCTCTTGGCCATTTTTAGTGGTCGTTTTGATGTGTCTTGTGTTGTATTCTGTCGTAAGCTTTGTTGCTATATATGAGCAATTTAACTGATCAATTGCTATAGTCGCGAGTGCTTGAACTACAAAACGTCTCTACGAGCTCGGCCTCCTTTGAGATACGGATGTCCTCTCCTCTCACGGGATCAGGCTAGCTACGCCTGGATTTACTATTAAAATGCCATGGAATTTGCTGTAATGCTTATACGAATCTCATACTTTGGGTCGTTGCCCTCCATGTCCGAATTAGGACGTTGGAGGTGTGGATCTGGCCATCATATACACCAACCACGAGCTTGCAGTTGTCAGGGTACGATTCTGTTATCAGCCCTTTTCAGGAATTAATTTATCTTTTCCCAGTTTTCGGCGTCCTCCATGAATGATGAAAAGCTACCTCTGATTTTAACGCTTTTGTAGGATGCAAATGACTACCCGCTCAGCAGCTCCTTGAGCTTATCCATCCAATGCACTCCCTGATTTCAAGTGTTCTGGTTTATGAGGATTCAGTGTAAGCTAGAATTTCGTGGATATAGATAACAGAGTCTCAATGCTCGAGTGCCTTGGGGCTGGACTATGGTCAAAGTATGGTACACGGAAGCATCCCTGCTCTTGTAGTCCAATCAACATCGCCCTCGAAGCATTTTGTCTATTCCAATTTACAGTAAGGATGTCTAGAGGTGGATTTTCGGATGGTAAGTATTACGGCATGATACAAAGATGGTCATATTTGGTGTGCAAGCAGCTACACTTAATATCAATTCTATAACGACGCTATTGAGGAAGTTTATCATCGACTTTGTATACTTGCATCATTTTCGTCAAGACCTCGCTTAGTGGCGTAGCCGCGTACTATATCAGAAGATTACCCCTCGTATAGTAAGCGGAAACTAAGATCGTAGACACTGAGCTTATCTTGCCAAAATGACAGGAGATTTGTTTATTCTGTATTATTGCGGGCCACTGTTATTAGCGTAGATTGTGGGTTCATAGCCGTATGAAGGGTGCCACAGTGACGAAAGATCAATAGGTACACTGTACTACATGAGACAATGAGGTCCTCCAACATGAAGTAGGTACCATCTGCAGGTCTGATCCTGCCCTCGCACTCAAATTAGAACTAGAAACCGTTCGATACTGCTACAATCCTGCTCACATACAACCATAAGAAAGTCGAGAATCGAGATGTCATACGGCTTGTAGTGGAAATCTCAGTCACTGCCTGAATAACTTATGATGCATGGATCTGGTTTAGTTTCAATCTGTAATTATGCAAAACAATTCATGGCATACTCCTATGGTTGTCGATCGATCGGATCCGAGTCGCTTCAGAGAAGGAAATTCCATGTCTGGTGCCAGTCACCATTCCATGGTTCGTGAGACTAGAGAGCACATTAAGTAACCAATCACCTAACGGTTGGTCGTTGCTCCCGTGTCCCGTCTCCGTAACTGACGTTCCCGCAGCTCCAGTCCAACTGTGCCAATTATCCATTGCACAAGGCCTATGACGGAGGAATCCAACCAATCCTATAGTTTTGTCAGCGGGAGCACTAAACTCTATGATATTATCATTTGCCACCATCGAACAATGGCATTGAACAATGGCTGTGTTGTACTTGGTCGAATGGTCAGTGGAGCCAGACTTTCGCTGTTGTTGATTGAGTCCAAGCCTCTGTGAAACAGTCCTTTGTATTGGACCTCATAGGGCTAACCCTACTAAATATTATACTTATTAACAGATTGATCGTCAAGACTCCTGCTAAATTGAACAGGAATATTACAACATGCGCATATCATACGGACGATGCTGAACAACATGGTCGGAACACTCTCAAAACTTCGGCGTATTGACAGGAAGCCCGTCCCCAGCAACCCATCCGCCGACGACTCCCCAGGAAGAATCATCGGATATGCTTTGGCTACAGATTCCTTGAGGCTTCAGACCACCGGACGGTACACAGTGGAGCTAGAGATCTTTATCAAGCCGGACCATAAACGCCGAGGCATCGGAAAATGTCTCTTGGACAAACTCATCGGAATGCGTGACGCTACTTATGTCCCCAAAAGGGGCTTCTTTTATGTTGCCGGTTGCGATGACAAGAGTTTCGCCAAAAGGGGCGCAAACACGCCTTATTGTGTTTGGAACATACTAATAGAGACAACATAGACGACTGAATATCGACACCACCCCAGTGACCCACGAACAGGTTGATGCGGCCAAAGGACTCGTACTGGAAGGAGTTACACTCAAACACGACCGTTAACATCTGGTGGAAACCCATCAGCAGGTTCATAGTGATGCAGAAGCACATGCAGCTATGCAAGGCGGACCGGATCGCCTTGTGAAGAGCTGATTTCAAGTGTCGCCGCAATGGTCGACAGAGGTATAATCCAACACCAAGCCGACCATGGAGGAGTCAACAAGCTGTGAGAGTTTATGGATAAGCTCTAAGACCTATACGTTTGCACAGCTGTTCTGATTGCTTTATGCATTGCTTTTATACGTCTCATTCCATCATCATGTTTGTCTGACGATGGTCGAGTCCCTCGATTTGTGCTCTTCGTTATGGTTACTTTGACATTGCTTTCGATAGATATTGATACCGCCACAATTTCCACTACACCTGTGACGGGCGAAGGCACCGCGTTGTTAAGCCTGTACTAGCAGTAGTCATATCTATCTGGTGGCCCTCTTTAGGGGCTGCTACATCGAGGGTCCATAGCTGTAGAAAGGCACCGGGAAAACAGTCATCGCAGTCAGAGCAACCATATTATCATTCGCAGCAGCTGTAGTAACCTGGATCCAAAAGGAGGAGCATTAGCCTGCAGAGTTGTTCGATGATTCAGAGAGTTCTGAGGCTTGGGCTCATCATGTTGCATGGTGTCCTTTTGCTGATTTCTCAAGGGCAAAGTCCGCGCAGCGTCACTCATCCTCGCCATCGTCAGAGAGAGATAATGTTTCTTCATTCTTTCTTTGTGCTTGATCTTCAACCAGATCATGAGGAGTGCGATCAGACTCCTGTCCCAGACGTTGATCGCGCGGAGCTGCCTCGGCCCCCAATACCTTATGAATGTCCACTGTATCCATCCGTTGTACCTTCCTCCCCACTATGTACTGTTCTATCCGGATGTCGGTGTTGGTCACCGCTGGATTGTGCGACTGACTGAGAGGATGGCACGGGCGAACCTATCGACGGAATGGCTTGACAAATCTTCTCATGAGAAGATGGTCTTCTATCCTTCTCTTCACTTTCAACCTTCTTGCATGTTAACCATCTCATCTCACCATGGAGGGCAGGGATACTAACAGTCATGTCTCTGGGCATGAGTCCCCATATCCTTTCACACCTCCATATCCTCAGAGCTACAACATGCTTCCTACGGAGCTCCTAGCATGCTAGGCTACACTCCCCAGCAGGGACAGTATATGGCTCTGGGCAGCACCAGTTCGCCTCAACCATTGCAGCCAGGAGGCCGCTTTGTATACCTTCATTTGTAGTATGATTAGGGCAGCAAGATAGACCATCAAGCAGTGATACCTGCAAAGCCTTCTATCACCATCGCTTCTGAACCCTTCAAGGGAAACACGAGCCAGTCATGTTTATGTTTTAATGAGACCATGACTGTCAAACGAGTATCTCATTTCGAGTACTTGAAATGAGATGATTTAGCTCGAGCTGCCTGCAGTCGAATCATGATCGACCATTGAATCCCTCTGCGAAAAGTGCTCGATCATGTTAGGTATGATAATGATACTCTTTTCGGGAGATCAGGTTGCACAAGATAGGCGCTATCAGAGACTGTAAGGTGCAAGGATGCCCTTGGTGCTGATCATGATCGCGACGGCGTTTTGAAGTGACCTCCCGCCAGGCTGGGCTCTTTAGGTTGAGAAGGAAGTTCTTCAGTTGATCAAGACTAATGCTAGGGATGTTGCCTTCATCTACCGGCTTTAGGAACCCTTGCCCGTGTAGTTGTTTGGTGAGAGCGCCGAGTCGGAAGGAGTCGCATTCAAAGGAGCATGACGTTCGACCATCTCGCAGATCGGTGACCAAACGACAAAGAGGGGTATGCAGCCTATGGCTCATGGCGTCATAGGATAAGTTCACGGGATCCAAGCTCCGCTGCCTGCCTCGGCCACTTAGCCCCAGCTTTCAGTCCCTCCCCGGTGGTTTGTCAAAGCAGCCTTGCGGTCAGCAAGAGCGCTACCCGGAATTCGAGGAGCACTGGTTGATTTGCGAATCTGTGGCTTCAGCAAAGTTTTCGGAATGGCGCCTCGCGCTGGACTGGGCGATATTGGGAGTTCGTGATCTACTTGAATTTTTGGGATTAGTTAGAATCCTATCCAGATTGGTATTTATTACTGGAAACTCTCACCATGTGTGCGTTGGGTAGCATAATTGCAGGGTTGAAGCTGCACCCTTGACAGTGGGAACGTCATTTGTAGAGTAGGATGACTGGAACAAGGTGAACAATTTAAGACCGCTAAAACTATATTTCCGTGGCCTCCCTCGCGGCTGTCCAGGATCTTTCCTTCCAAAGTGTGAGATGGAATGGAACGAGATGAGAGCGCGATGTTGCGATACTATTAACTACACGAAGGGCAGGAGGTGAGTGTATGTAGCGCGCTAAGCCTCATCTAGACGCGTATGCGATAGAGTACCTCTCAAACAGAGAGAGTCTTGCACTCTGGCAATAACCAGCAGGGTTAGATGCTTGATATGGCCTTCACTGGTAGAGTTTCTAAGCCGATCAAGGTGGCATATATTCAAGGTGTTCTGCGGTATGCTCTGGAGTCATCTTCATGAGCTGATGTCTACATTAGCCAAGCCTAGATACACTAGAACGCCCTGTAGAAGCAATGAAGACTAGGTCAGGAAAGCTAAATGGCTTCGTAACGGACTAGAAGATGTTAATAATACAAAACCGCTAGACTAAAAGAATATGCGGGCGATGTACTCCATAGTCTAGTGGTAATGTTCCCAGATAAGCCACTTTAGACCAGTATTTTTCACAGCACGAAGGTCGTGACACAGGAGTGACAACAAAACTATTTCATCTGTCTCCGGAATACCAATTCCTGGCTCACTTCCCCAATCCGAGTTGTTGTTGTTGCCGCTAAATTCAGCCTTGTCCTCAGACACACGGTCGTCAGCTCCGATAACAGGTTGTCGCAGCGTTTCTTGGACCCTGCCGGGGTCTCCTTGCTCGATTGTGCCTCCACCAGCATGTCTCCATCAGCTGTTCCAATGCCCCAACACGCCGCCAAAGTTGGGAATGAATATATGGGGTGAGCCATGCCAAGCATGCATCTCCCAGTGGGCTCGCATTGTATCCCATATAAGTGGCCAGCTTTTAGTCTTAAACCTGCTCATCTGTTTGTCGAGCAATTTGGGGATGTTTGTGTAATCCATAGTGTTTAAAGCGCGATATGCTTTTTGGCATATAAAGAAGATGTAAGAATGCAAAGGTAATCCAGCAAGTGCATAGTAGTATAAACGAAGGAGTTGCTTTTGCCCCCACTATAAATGAGAGAAACACTGCCTTGTTGTTCATGCAAAGGCCTTTGCATCAGTTAGCAGAGATGGTCGCTGGTGTAAGTGGAAGAAGAGTAAGAGTAACAGTAAATACCTGCTTATGTATGTTTGGAAAAGTATCGGCTGAGCCAGTGCGTATAGCTGGCAAGACGTGAGGCAGGAGGAGAGAGCTCTCTGCTGTTCTGCTGACTCAAAGAATCTGATGATAAAGAGGGGAATTTCCATGGGCAAATCGAGAAGACTTCCCATTCAAATGGCTTTTCGGGAGATCAATAAGAATATGCTTTTGTATCATTTTGTCTCTCCTGCGATTTTGTGTCGAGTTCGTCTCATTAGCCTGCTCCTTGGGAGACGGCGACCAGAATCTCCTTTTCTGGGACGCATATCTCAAAATAACCGCGTCCGATCTGCCAGTGTCTGCGGATGAGAGAGAGCATGTCTGCCTGATGTACTCTTCTTTCCTCTACCTCACTTTATGGATATAGATGAAGAAAGCAGAGCGGCTCCGGCCTGGGAACTGTAGGGGATCTGAATAGAATGTGAATTTTTAACTAGATCCCAATAAGTAGTATTCACAAGCTATGTATCGCAATGGGTATAATATGGGATTGTGAAGTTTAATAGATATGACTATAGCTGGTATTCACTAATAGCAGTGAATGTAATCTGCTCTTAAATATGACATCAATCATGCTATGAAACTTCATTACATCTGTCTCACTTAGGGCTTTATGCTACTAAACTACAACTTGATCGTTTTCCTTGACATTTTCATCATCTCATCATCTCCGGTGCAATGTACTATCTTTGCTTGTACATTTACTCTCTCTCTCTCCCCCCTAGATCTCTATATTTGTTGACCCATTCAGCTCAATCGTCCTTCGGTAATGGCATTTGACTGCGCATGGCCAGACCGGAAAGTAAAGAAATAACCCTGGAGCAGTACCTACCCATCCGTAACATTTATCGATCAATAGGTTTCCCGGGTATGTGGATATATCCGTTGACTTTCATTGACTCTCCCGAGCTTCAGAGTCATGAGTTTCCAAAAATGGTAATTGATGCGGAAGTTCGTGATCTTGCGGATCCGATGCTGCTCCTGAGATAAAGGTTGTATTGTCAACCTTCTCAACAAGAAGGGTATTTACAGGTACGTCCATTGAATGAATATTGATCTTTGATTCTGTTCCATTTCCACTGATATCGCGACATTCGGATTCCCTAGTGATTAGTCTCAAAGCGGTCAAGCAAATGGTCATACAAGTCATTCAATCAACGCTTTACATAAAGTGGAAACTCCTTTAAGAGTTCTCTTCGGTCATGTGAGTCAAAGGAAATCTATCCGTGGTATAAAAGTCTTCTCTGATCATGTCTACACAGCACCGAGTCCTCCAACGTCGCCGACCCAGCGATGTCCCTCAGAAGAGTACGCGCTGCGGATCTGTCCGGGGACTGGCCGGGCTTTACTGTAGTACTTACGTTAAATACTCAGTCTATCTATGGGTAGGGTAGCAGAATAAGATGAGGGCGGAGAATTACAGAAGAACAGCTGTGTCGAGACAGACGTTCCCGACACTGATACTGAGGCGTTTTCGATCCTGGTTGATATATCTGATCAAACGGATTGGTTGAAGACGATTTCTACATGACGGTCAAAGGCGAGTTCTACCTCAAACTTACATTGGCTTTTTTCTTTCCAATTCCCGGCTGACAGCTTGTGATTAGACTCACAAAGAACGGCAAGTTATATCTAGGTGTCAAAGTACACAGGATTTAACGCTGCGCTGTTCATTAGCAGGCTCTGGGATATCCCCCGAGCGGAGAGAGAGAGAGAGTGCACCACACTAAAGCCCAGTGTCATCGAAAACTGGGCGAATAATGTGTTTAGAATCGATCCTGCGCACTCAGGCCGAATCCTTGTCATCATGGGCCATGATGAGTGGTGACGGAAACTACTGGCAGGCCTGCCACTATTCTCAACTACAACTGCAACTGGAACACCAAGCACCCAGAGAAGGTATGCAGAGCTTCCTCTAGCCGCCTTTGCAAGATGAGCTTGAGACAGTGGTTGAGATGTCCTTTAATGAAAAAAGCAGCTCATCAAAGGTTATATCAAAGACCCCACGGGGGCCACAAAGGGAAAAGGTATTCTTTTCCCCTGTAGCGCCATGGAACACTCTTAGACTGCACACAGTTGGGATAAGATTGCTGAAGGGCTCCTTGGGACAACAATGTATGGGCATATCCTAGGAGTGTTTCACTATGTGGTGAAAGACATCGAGGAATTCTTGCTACACGCGCGGGAGGAGTTGGAACAGCAGGAGTCCAGAAGATCAAAGCATACATGCTCATTTGGATGACAACGCGGTGGTTCGAGACCAATCCCCTCTAGGGTCACTTTGATACATATACTGATCTGTTATCTTCCAGTATACCGATCCTGAGAGAAGCAACGCCCGGGAGGGATTCCACTTTGGGACACTGCGACGTCATCGCAGTCTACAGACATCGGAACAAGTTCTTGAAGTTTCAGAATCTGTATTCTGAATCACGCAGTCAGCGACCCACGTAAATGGTCATGCCGGACTTATTACGCACGAGGTTGGATTACATATTTGTCACCAGATGATCGATCCTAAGAGGACAACCATGCGAATATTGTAAGTCAACATGGGAGGATGCCACAGACCAACCGAGCATGAATCCAAAAGTGCGAGCCATAATGGCTCAGCACTTTTGGATTCATGCTCAGTACGGCATCATCGCTGTTGGTAGACATGTCCGGTTATATTATAAGGACGCTGCCACATCTGCAGTTACGCACTGCGCAAAAGGACAACCTCTATATCAAACCGACCGAGAGCAGATGCATTGGACCATCCCCGCAAGGCCGCAGTGAGTAACTGGTCCGGGACCCTGGGTACGAATGACTCAGGCCTCTCCTGACTGCTCGATGGTCATGAACAAACCAGTATCTGCTGCATCAACCAACAATAGACTGCATGAGACCGGTCGCACTTCGCAGACTGCATTTCTAATACACAATGTTGCGTATATCGCACGCTACGGGACCCATGTCCCAATTATCAGTCATCTTCACGCTTAAATGCTTGACAGCATTTTTATACCAAGTCTTTTCGACGATCGGAGAAATTTGGCCGCAGATTCCGCTGTTGATGCTACCGGAACCCGGTGGGATATCCGGCATACACGTGACTACTTCGAAGATCTACGGGCACATTGTGGTGGCAGTTCCTCAACAAGATGAAGCACGAAATCTCTCGGGAAAGGTGTACTATTCACTATGATATAACACCACCCTCGGACATGTGCTCAATTGAAGAGTGCACAGCGCAGAACGAGCTCGACCGTGACACCAGCGCTCAGGACCCTAAATGGCTCAAAAGAGCTGATGTCGAAATGATCTTCAGCCTCACGAGAGAGATATCAACGTGCAGCGAGCGACCTGTCTTTCCAGGAGGGTAAGTACTGGATACATGGATTTGGTATTTGCTCAACAGATATTAACTTATCTTTTATAGCTTGAAGAGACAGGGAACCTTATAGAAAACATCCGGGAGCGCAGTAGGCCATCCATGGTGCGGCGAGAACCATTGCTGGGGAATAGCCGGAGGAACAACGCCCAGCACCGACACAATGCGAATAAGGTCAGCGAAGGATGAAGACATCGGGAGCCGGAGGGCTGCCCATTAAAATTCGGATATATCGCTGGTAATGCCGTCATCTATTGCAGCGGCGCAGGTGGCCTCGCAAGTGGTGGTGCTGGCGGAGGTGATTCCCCCGGACGTGGATTGCATCATTGTCGCTACGTGACCGATCCTACAGGATTCACGAAGCCGCCGGGCGGCAAACCAATAACCATGTTGAATGGGGCCGCGGGACTACCTATGCACACATGACTAAAGAGTCGGATGAGTCCTTCAGACTGGCAAATCTCCATGAGGAAAGATCGACAGAACGGCCGATGATAGTCGACGCCGTTACTCAGAGGAGGGATCCTGCCATGACACATCGGACTCCATATCACTACCTGGGGAGTTCTCAGTTCTACCCAGGACGCGACAAATACTCTTTGAGCTTCGCCGCTTCGGATACGTGATGTGGGATCACTTACCCTCCCGAGCAGTGGCAAGCCCTTAGGGATCCTTTCCAAGGGACCCTTGTATGGTGACAACGGCGATGAGGGCCGTCACTGGGTGTTGATATTGCTTTCGATCGATAAAGGATGCAGCCTGAACATGTCGCACGGGGATGGTGGGATAAAGACGGTTAGGAAATACTTAGATGGTTTGATGGTGCAAAGTTAATCCCACCAGAAACCCAGCGGTCTGCACGCCAAGGTCTACCTGGTCAAACAGGCCTTTTTGGCTAGGGCCGCGAACTGGGGGACCCTTCGTCCATTCAAACCGTGTGAAAAAGTATACTTTCGATGACTTTGACCAGCTTCCAGAGCCGTCGAGTGCAAGCGCTCCGGCCCATGGGCGGCTCAAATCTCACAGAGTACGCAACCAGCAACCGGGGCTTCACCTTTGAGCTCTGAGGCTCGAACAGGCCGGAGGAAGGCCTTGGATTTCCTTCCCATCAAGCGCATTATTGATCTTGATTTATGGAGTGGGGGCTACACTGGGATGACTACCCGAAGATTGAGGTATTCGCCTTCTTTGCAAACCTCCAGCACCTAGAGATCGAGCAGTGCCTCTTGACCTACAACCCAGAATTGCCCGACTCACTGAGGCATCTGGCCAATCGTGCCTGTGAGCACCCTGTGGCAAGATCGTTGATAAATTTGACAAGACGCAGCGTCGACAGCCTAGATTCTCTCGAGTTGGTCGCCTTACAGCCTCAGCCTATTTTCGGTCTCTCGGAAAGATTTGACAGCGATGAAGATGTACATGAAAACATTCTCTATCATTGAAGAGCATCCAAAGGAAAGTGTTCTAAATTCGAAGAAGTCAGGTCTCAACGAAGTCCCGACATTCTTGTTTTGAGCATGACAGCGGAAAATTCTCCCAATCTCCTATAGTGCGGCGAGAACATTACTGCATAGCAGCCAGATAATGTGGGTCAATGTCCAGAGCAGACACAAGGCGAGCAAGTTGGGCAAGGACATGAATACATTGGGGGCGGGTACCTATTGAAGAGAAGTGGAAGGAGCTACTTGGGACAATGGCCTGACAGCACCAACGAATGCAGTGCTGCGATTTGAAAAGACAACCAGGAATAAATACATGGGGACGACACCAAAGGCCGCGACGGGGACATCTCAGCCCGGAACCGATACGTTGAATCCGCGGCTATAGGCACGTTCAAAGCGTACTGGTGCATGATTTGTCTAAGAACTTCGGCCCAAGACTACTGCATACTACACCAGCAGCGTACGCGGCCAGCCTGAATACCGCTCTGGCTTCGACATCAGATGCAACGGGCTTTTACTCAGTAGCTCACTGCAGAAGGACGCGCGCGTCTCCTTGAGACAAGTGACAAAAGTCCGCGACCTAAGAATCAGCGAGAGCTTCTCGCTTGTCCCAAGGAAGTCAATAACAAGAACAAAGCGAAGAAGTCAGAGACAAGCTTGCTGAGAAGTTCAAAATAGCATTACCACCTCAAAGTAACTAAAAAAAACTAACAGCATGATGAACTGGGCACCATCCGTTAAGAATAACAGCCTGCGTCAAACACAGCTTGCGCTGAAATAGGGTTGCGATACTGTAACACCTGAATCCCTTGAGAGTTCATTCTCAAGAATTGCTGCCCTGCCTGTCGCCGCAAAACTCCGTTCCCAGCTGAAGTTCAAGTACTCCTGAGCCTAAGGTACCATTATGAAAGGAGGGCGTTGACAATCAATAAAAGATGCTCCCCTGCGGCCGTCTGTTCTAATATTCGGCTGCCTTCTGCTTTTACATGTGGCTATGCTCACTTCCTGCCAATGATTTCCTCCTCCGCATGGCGGCGCTGCCTATGCGGGTTGAACACCCGATGATGTTATTAACCCAATATTAGGCGTGCCTTTTGCTTTTATGCTGGTCGCCGTGGTTCGCCTTTTCTCTTCCTTTCTTCGCAGGTAGCACATCCATCTTCTCACATGTCAGGTTTGTTTTGCTAATAGAGATGATAGCTAGTCATTGTCGGCAATCGGGGAATGACGCAGACCTCCGCTCATTGGGATTTTTATACACACGGACACACTTCAGCGGAACTCGGAGGAGGAGAACACTTTTATTGAGCTGGTTAAGAACCAGAAAGCTCAGTTGAAGCTCGGTTGGCATGCTTTTGCGGAACGGTCCTTCCCATGGCTGGTATAGTTTAGAGGATCTCTGCAACAAAAAGGAAATGGTAACTATTACCACCGCAATTATTTCTATCCCGTTTCCTCGCGCACCGTACTTATGGCAAAGGGAAACAAACAACAGACTGATGGTACACACCGAAAGGCAAAGATATCAAGGGGAAGTAGGCGGCCCCCGCCCTGTCAGCCGTCAAAAGGCAGACTTGGAGAAAATCAAGGGCAAGCGGGCGAAGCTGGACTCAGGGAGCCAGATGATACGGAAGAAGACGAGGAGCTTACTTCAAAGCCAGACAACTTTCAGCGATTTATTAACCGCTTCTGATCCGATCCTTCCACTGCTCGGCTGAGCTGGTAGAGGTGGTTTATCCTCATATCCGTCGAAATGATAGAGGAGACACGGCGCAGAGTTCTGACAATAATATCGGATTCAATTGAACATGGACATGAACACTGCATCGAGACCACATCGGGGTCTCTTCATTGTCTGGTCACTGATCTGCGAGGTGCCCGGAAAGTCATGCTCCTTTGAATGCAACTCCTTCCGACTCGGTGGCAAACAACTGGGAAGTCAGAGCTCTCATAGAGCATCCCGGCGCAGACGTCAACCTGTCGATAACCAAAGACTCCCCCAGTCAATCACTGCTCAGCTGCGCAGCTGCCCAAGATTGCTTGGATCTGGAGATCGTGGAGGTGTTCCCGACCCAACTAGATCTCATTGTTAACTCTCGACGTCTGTTTACCAGGACGCCCATCGCTTTAGCGGGCTTACAAAGGGCAGGCTTTGATAGTGAAGCTCCTTCTGCTGCGCGATGAAGGGGGTTTATTCCCATTGGATATATGTAGGAACACTCCGTTGCTTCTCACTGTTGAAGCGGGAGAAAGCTTGGTTGTGAATATGCTATTACACTGGCAGGGCTTCTCAGGGCCGGTAGATGAAGGCAATATCCCTAGTATTTGTCTGGATCAACTGAAGAACTTCCTCGATAACATCAAGAGCCCAGCCTGTTGAGCTTACTTCAAAACCTAACTGCCGCCGTCGCGATCATGGTCAGCACCAAGGGCATCCTTGCACCTTACGATCTAATGGGACTTGGACGATGCGGAGAAGGTACCTATACTATTAGAGTCACTATGTTCCTTAAGGAGCATTAAGGAATTTAACCAATCCAGAAGTTACTATCAGGATGGCCCCGTGACCATTCAGAGCTGTTGAGTATAAATAACTAGAGGGAGTTTTACTTAATACCACCATGTGGTCGAAGCTGATTCTTTAACATTATAGTCGACTTGTAACCTTATCAACGAGTAATTCACTTATCCTCTTGTTAATATCTAAATATTAGTAAGCAGAGAGGAAAAGCATAAAATGTCTTTGGCTCTACGCAATCAGTGCTAATATTATCTAACTACGGAGCCAGCCCATGAGCGATATGGCTCTTGCCGTACTAGTTTGAGATTCGACCACAGTTTCTGCGGTTATATCTTTTTGCATTCTAATTTTTACCGGATCCATAGGGTCGTGTCAACTCCTAGTGGTATTTCTAAACGATCCAGCATGTGATGGACTATAGTCCTCATACCACTTTGTATGTCGCAAGGCTATACGCCCTACTCGATGATACTTTACGCCCTGCCTTATGGGATCTGACCAATGTAAGAATCACGTCAATACCATCTGTTGAATCTTCCCAGTCGAACATAAACAGTATCCTAGTCCTTGTGCTCCTCGTGCTCCTCATCCAGCCCGCGTTGTCCATCCTCCATTTTATGGTTGTGAATTGTGCTCACCACATCCGGACATCCAGGCTCAGTTCCAGGAGCGAGGAATGTCCCCGAGGAATGCCCCCAACACGCCGCTAAGGTCGGTAGCAATAAAAAAGTAGTTTAAATACAGAATGAACACACTAGTGGCCTTGCTGCCCTTCTCTCCCGCCTCAGGAGTATCCTCCTTCGTCCTCCTCCTCGCTGTCGAATGTGCTCACCGGGAGGGAAGCGGAGTTAAAGCACGACGCTTCTCATGTTAGCTTGCTTGAGGTCTTTTGCAAGCGGGAGTTCTGGGTCGAAGCTGTGCAGCTGCATGATCCACTGGTACACAGTGGTCGTGAGATCATGGTTAATATACCAACCCAGGTCGTGAAGGGCTCTCGAGCTTGAGCTTTGAGGGTGGCTTGAAGATGTAACTGTAGGGCTTTAGTTACTCATGTGGTTGTGTATTGAGGAGGCGTGAGCAAGGGGAGTGATTCTTTTTTTAAGAAATTTTCAAGATTGCCGGCTCACCGGGAGACACAGGCTGGATTTGCTCAGCTGGACTTGCTGATGTTGGTTATCAGGTTTTGGACCCCTCTCCAGCTGTATAAGATAAGTTAGCATCTGTTGAACAGATTCAGATCCATGTACATAGTACTTACTCCCCTTGGATGGACAGGTACTGGACCGTTATCCGGCGGAGATTATGGCGAGTTTGGGCCACCCCAACACTTCGCCTCCCCTAACTAAGCACCAGCCGCTGCGGCCGAAGCCACGGCCATGACTGTTATGGTTGTATCCCAGGAGGCTTTTCCCTTCCCACTGACAGGAGGCCAGAGCTCCATGATAAAGACCCAAAGTCACCGCCGTTGTACGGCCCGACTTGAAGTAGACATCGCCTTTCACATCGTCTTTTGCAGGCCAGAGGTATTGTCCTCGGTCTGTAGGATGACAGGAGCAGATTCATGGAGAATGAGGTCGTCTGTAAATCTCCTTTAAGCAATAGTGTAGTATGCCTTGAGAGTATCATGGATATTCTTAACAGCTTGATCCTCGTTGCTGAGGTG